CCACCACCCATCCTGAGCGTAGCCTTGAGAGGACCAGGGACACTGTCCTCCCATCCCCTGAAGTCCTTTCATGACATCACTGACACAGCCGAGCTCAGTGACCACTCTTGCTGCCGCTGACCTTCCCAGCTACAGCGCTTTCTGTGTGACCGCTCCATAAAGGCCATGCAAGAGGCCGGAAGACGTGTGTTTCTGTGGATTCTGTGAGCCCTGTCACGACAGAGGACCTCTGCTCAGCACTCCCTGTCTCCTGTCTGAGCTCATTTTCTGGTGCTTGGACAACAAGGTGAGCGCTGGCATGGCGCCTTCTATGGACTCACTCAAGAGGAGGGTGCAGCACGTGGTATGGGAGCAGCTCCCTGGGGTGGCAAGTAGGAATGCATCGAGGCATTGGTCTAGTCAACGGGGGCAGAAGGGCAGGCCGCAGGGCACTTCTGTGGGGTACGTGGCATAGACAGCAGTCACGAGGCCCCTGTGAAAGCATACAGAAAGTCATCAAAGAGACTCCACCCCAGGTGTAGAGGCGGACAATGGGGATCTGGGTGCAAGCTGGTGCACACAAGAGCAAGCACCAGGCTCAGACCCTACACCTCACACCTGCCCAGCCGACCCCACTGAGCCTCTGCTGTGTGTGAACCTTTGTCCTGGCCATTTGACTTTGGTTTTAAGAATGCAACAAATTGGTGGTCAACCTTTAATTGCAGTGTTTTCCAAGGCCTAATAAAGTATTTGCATTTTGTAATATGTTGTGCATGGTTTTCAAACAAGATGTGGTCAGCAACTCTCTATCAGCATACAGTCATGGGGGACAGTCACAGGTGATCATCCCATGGTGGGTGTTCAGAGGAGAGCAGAAGGAGGATCAACGTGCATGCGAGCATAGACTCCACACTGATATACACATGTGCAGTGACACTCACACTCCACATTGATGGGTGGGTGTTGTCTGCTGTACACATGTGCAGAGACACTCACACTCAGTAGTGATGGACGGGTGTTGTCCGCTGTACACACATAAAAGGACACTCACACTCCATAGTGATGGACTTGTGTTAGAAGTGAAGATGGCAAGAATTCATTGAGAGAGAGCAAACAAGATGGTGGATCGGGTGGCATTGCAGTGAGGAGCTCTGTCAGCAACAACACAGAGTACCAGAGTAAGCAGGCTCAGGGAATGGTCCCAGAACTCTGAACTACATATAAAGGAATATTTAGAAGGTTGGAAGTCTCACAGCTAGGGGAATTAGTGGCAGAAGCCAGATATCCAGTGCTTTCTAATCATAGACACTCAGCTGCTCCCTGAGCCACCATCTTGGGCAAGACCAAACTGGGGAAGGATCAGAGCAGCCACAGATGCCTGACAGAACCATGGAGATAAAGGTGTGGGCATTCTTTTTTTTTAATCTGCTCATTGGTCTCTCACTGTCTGCACAC